GCCAATCACTGCAGATTAAGACAGAAAAGCCCAAGGATTTACAGCAAAGGGTTTATCACCTCCTGACTCCAGTAGCAATAATATCTCAGGCACCTGAGAGACTAATGGAACACAAGTAACAGATTTATTTGCTTATAACCAACAGGCTGAAATTCTGTGTCATGTGAATATCCATTGTGCACTGTTTTGTTCGGCTGGGAAAGGATACTGGAAATTGCACCTCCCAATGGCTTGGCTTCAAAGACAGGAGGCTGGGACGGGATCTGAAGAAATCCGTTGTTTTGTTGCACAGTTGCAGCTTGGTCTGAGACCCAGAACTAAGAGGATCCCTGTTAACCGCCTGATCTCAGAGTGATTACTGAACAATGCAGTCAGACACCCTCTTCACTCATTAGTCATTCCCTAGTGACCTTACCTTGCCTTTCAATTTTGGCTTTGGAAATGACTATGCCTGTAGCTTAAAGATCACTGAGATCAAGAGAAGGAGGAGACGTCAAGAAAGAAAGAGGGACAGGAAGCCAAGTGGAGAGCCAAGGCAACAGGGAAGTAAGACACAAAAGGGGAATAGAGCTGGGGCTCCATTGCATTGGGCTGACCTTGTGCACAGGTCCTGCACATACAGTCAGGAAAACTTCCCCTCTCCCACCTCCCTCACTCCTGCTGCCATTGGTGTGGGGTGGGAGAAGGCTGCATTCCTCTTCATGACGAAACTGCATTAAGGCACTAGGCACATCAAACTTTCTTCCCAAGCAGAGAAAAGAGAGTTTCTGCTCTCTCCACCCTCACGGGCCTGTCCAGATGATCATAGACGTGCGGTATGTGGTGCAGCAACCCATCTACAGTGATGCACACTGCATTCACTGCATGTGCAGGCGTTCCTCGCTGTCCATGTTCACCGCACACACCGCACACCACACATGCAGGCATTCCCTGCACTGTTGATTTGCATGCTGCTGGACTGCCCCATGCTGCTGGACTGCCAGGGCTGCAGCTCCTGGAGGCCCTCAGGGCCCCAGGTGCTGGCCCCAGCCTCCCTTACCCCACCCAGGGCAATGTGCCACAGTCCAGTGCTTACATGCACAGGTGTGTCCCAGGGACAAGCAGTAGTGCCACATATTGTGCTGCTGTATTGTTCCCTGGGAAACTGCAGTGATGAGAGATACCGCCCTCCCCCCACACCACCTGCCATTCAGAAAGTTGCTCTTTGCCTACCCCACTGCATGTCTAGGATGTCTGGGATTCCCCTATATTCCCTCCCAGAATATTCTCCTAATAGGATTTTGTACCTGGGCTGGGGGGGGGGGGGGGGAGGGGATGGCAAAGGGGAAACTGAGCAAGAAAGAGCAGGGCAGGGGCAACAGGTGGGTCAGGATAAAGTCTGAGGTGACAGGAGAGAGGAGCAATGAGGTCACTTGGTTTTCTCCCTTCCCTTAGATTCAGGCAGGGGAAACCTTACATCTCATACCTGCCTCTTCCATTATTTGCCCCCATGCCCATCTATTGGGTTCTGCACTAATCCCACCTCCCATGGATCATACAGATGGCCAGGCATAGCCTCTGGCAGTCTCTCACTGTAGAACTACCCCACAGACCAATTCCTCTTCCTCTTCCCACCAACTTCTTCCTCAAATGCTGGCAGACAAATAAGAGGTGCTGAAAGCCTGCCTCTCCTTTCCCTTCTCAGATACACAGAAGGAAACCCCTAATCAAGAGTACCCCTTAGTGGCAGGAGAGCAAAGCACAGAGACTAACAGCTTGTTGAGAATGCAGCTGTCAGGTAATTCCAGGACATGCATCTCTCTTCTGCCATGTAGACCCCAAAGCTCTGGGTACCTGTACTGCTCAGTAAATACTGGCATTTTCTAACTTCAGAGACTTGACTTCTGCCATCTTACTTATTTAGGAGAGGTTGTTTAGATGCAATTTCCGAATACTTTAAAGCCAACACATTGCTGCATGGAGGAAGGGGTGGGCAAGGGGGCAGAAATTTAATTGTGTCTTGCCCCACTGGAACTCTATCAGTGAAACCGAGACCTGTCAATCCACAGTGCAGGTCTCTGTGCCAAGGGGCAATAAAGTAAATGGTAGCAGCAGCAAGCTATTATCTTCTCTCCTGATTTGCCACAAGATGGGGAGGGAGTGATTTTTATGGGTGCTGGCTATGAGCAGAGGCATCCTGAGATGCAAGACTAAAGGATTCAGGTCAGGTTTTATAGGCAAGAGGGGACTGATGCTTGTAGCAGTGGATCTCAAACTTTTTAGCTTCAAGACACTCCTCCATAACTATTCCAAATTTCACAGCACTCCTTTTGAGAGTCACTGAGCTAGAATTTACATTCAGAACAGTTATGGAGGAAGCTTTGAGGCTAAGAAAGTTGAAAACCAGTGTCCAGCTAGTGTCAGATAAAGGCAGGCCATCGCCCCACCATGCCTCACTTTTTCCAACTTCTTTTTACCCCCAGTGTGTACCTGTATTTTCAGAGAACACATTTTCATTGGACAATGCCTGTTTGTTGAATCTGAAACAGTCTATGGGAATGTTTCCATTTCAGAAGAACACACAGCAGCCACATCTATCCAGTTGGGAACATGAGAGCAGGAGCTCCATACCCCACAGGTTCCTGTCTGGTGGGCTACCAAGGGGCAGGGAATCTGGAAGCTTTGGGGGCCTTAGATGCCAGGACTCCTGGGTCTTGCAGATTTCCGGCCCTCAGCAAGTGGGACATGAGTGGTCAGCCCTAAGGTTTAGGATCTTGACCTGGGAGTAGAGATGGGATACAAGCCAGGGTCGTGAGTTGAGGACTGTAGTCAGGAACAAGCCAAGGGAAGAAGCCAGGGATAGACATAATCAGCAAGAAAAGGGCCAAGAATCAAGGCACAAAGTGCTAGGATCAGAGCAGCCTACAAGTTCACCAAGAGACCCAACACACCAAAAGACCCCTACTATCTGCCCTGCTGGTTTCAAGGCTGTTTGAGAGCAGGGTCTGCTTCCTGCAAGCACTACAGCCAATGGCTGGCAGTCAGAGGGATGATTCATCCTCTGCTGGGACTTATGGCACCTGGGATTTCCAGGTGGTTTCCCATCCAAGTGCTAGCCAAGCCCAGGACTGGTTAGCTTCCAAGATCAAATGAGATCAGGTGCATTCAGTCCAGTATGGCCATATCCAGCTGGAGCAGTGACTCATCACACCTGGCTCCTCAGCAGCTCACCTGGGCTGTCATGGGCTCTCTACCTCCTTGGGAGCACAGGAACATATTTTATTTCAGACACTCCTGTTGTGAGGATCTCTTGGTGTCTCCAAAATGAGACACTGCAGACTTCCAGGTCCACAAAGAATGTGGGTTGAGTTTTGAACTTGGAGCCTGATTCAGGACGATTTTTTTTCCAACCACTCAAGAGTTTTCATGGACCTTAAAGTCTGCCTCCATGCCAGCATTATTCTTGCCCCTTCTATGCCCTGTCTCCTGTCCCACTTTGCCCCTGCACCTGTCTTTCCTTCCCAGCTCCTCCACACATTTCTCCCCTCAGACACCCTGCTCGGTCCTTCCTGTTAGAGGAGAGCTGGACAGAAGTCTTTTTAGGTTGTCCTGTAGTTGTAGCAGACAATTAATATACACCTTTTATTTAAGATAAACTGTGATTCTATATATTGTGATAAGGGCTTTTTTCAGAAGAGAGAGGGAGCCAGCTATGGGTCTTGGGAGTGGGGCAGGTGAATTGGTATATAGGGCCTTGTTACACCTTATGTTGTGAGCTGTACAAATGGTGATTGGTGTTAGTGCTAGCTTGGAGTTTCAAGCAGTCACACCCGTAGTCTAGAAACCTTCTCTAACTGTTCCCTGCCTGCACAGCTGTGACTTGCCATGAGACCTGGTGAGCAGGGGCAGGGCTAGGATCTGTAACTATGAGTTGCCACTTTGTGGCTGATGAACCAGGACAGGCTTCCATCCCTGCTGTTTGTGCGGGGGTGTGAAAGATCCTGGGATACTGGAGGACTTCAACTTGGGTGGCACATCTGTGAGGAGAGGGCGAACCTTATGGAACAGGAGCTGGGTAGTGCAGATCAGAGATAACCCTGCCCTGGAGCGGCATAACTTTAAGCCACATAACAAGTGCTTAAACCACTTTAAGGTGTAACATACAGACAGTCCAGGGGTTAAGCACTCCGGGAGCCACCCAAAATTATGGTGAAACAAGGTCCTTAAATATCACGATGATGGGTGTAAACCCTCTTTAGAGCAGAAAGGGGACTCCAGGCTGCGAGGTCTCTTCTCCCTTCCTTAGGTGCTTCTGGTGCTCCACCTACTGGTGAGTACATGGTCCTATAAACTGGTATAGCATCATATGAATATTAGCAAGGGAACAACCAACCGAGTAATGTTGGGTGCAATGATTTGCTTATGCCATGTAGTATTGATGCCAATCATAGTGAGACAGAGGCTGCTGGGAGTCAGGGGGAGAATATTGCCACAGGTCCTGCATCCTACGCCAGCTCCTTTGTGGCAATTAACTGAATGAGAGGGAGGTGAAGAGAAATTCAGCAGCAACAGAGGGAACAATGTGGCTTTTCCTATTCTAGTAAAGTTCCTTGTTCAGCATCAGAGGAAAGCAGCTCCCTCTGCATTTGTCACCTGGCAGCAGAAAGGCTGGAAGGCCCAGAAAGTATTCTCTGCCAGGAGCCAGCCCCCTCCCTTTGCTCCATTTCAGCTGGAAAATCTTCACTTCCCAAAAAAAAAAGAGGCGGGGGGGGGGGGGGGGGGGGGGGGAGGGAGGAGGAGCAAGGGGGAGGGAAGAAGCCATCTCTCAGCTTTTGGCACAATTTTTTATTTAACCCCTGAGTAAAAGTAGCATGGCGCCCCCCACTGCTCAAACCAGCAGGGCAGGAAGCTGCTGTCATTTTCTGATGCAGTAGAAGCCAAACCTTATACTTGCATATGCCCCGCCTTTAGCTAACGGCTTGGGCTACAGAGTTGAGGAGGAGGGGACCTGTGGGCACATTGAGTAATGCTCCTTCTTCCTCTTCCTCTCCCTCCCAGCGACCTGCCGTTCACTTCAGCTCTAGGGTTGACATTTTATTTGCACCGACCATCCTTCCATTCTCCTTTGTGAGCATTACCTCTGCCTCACTTCCCCCACCCCAGGACCAGCCTTCCTCCGCCAGTCCAGAGCCATGCAGGCCATCAAGTGTGTGGTGGTGGGAGATGGGTATGTACCTTTCTATTTTAGGGGCTGGGGGCGGGAAAGGGAAGGAGGTAGGTTGTTCTTGCTAAAACTTCCTATGAAGGGAGTCAGCCTGTGACGGAGGAGGTGTGTTAGGTGGGATAGGGGAAGGGCATTTTTGTAGGGCTGATGCAACAGGACCACAGAAAGCAGAGCTGTTTGCAGGGCTGGCAAATCTACCCTCAGTGAAAGAGGTGTCATCCCCATGATGCCTCCCTTGGGCACAGCTATCTATGGTGGACAGAGCCAGGTTCAAGAATAAATGAGGGGAATCATGGTTTCCCTC